AAAGAGGAATTAACAAAAAGCATATATTTATTGCTCCCTACCTAACATTCATTTTCCTTGAGTGGATCTGTAGGATTCTGGCCCTGGCTTCCTCGTTGGGGTGAGGGAATTCTATTTTTCTGTCTAACCTCCCTGACCTTAGTAGAGCAGGGTCCAGAATATCTACTCTGTTTGTGGCAGCTATCACCTTGAAAAATAATCAGAATAATTTTTCCAGTATTCATTTGTTGTGAGCTTTCAAATTAAGAAAAGCATAAAGGTATGCTGCTTATTTTTAAACTTTTGATTAAACACAATTTAATTTAATGCAGGTATCTAATAATTAGGTCTTTCCACCTTTCTGTGGAAAGACCTCTTGAAATGCTTATGTTTCTTATTATTATTTTTCTTCCCGGACTTTTGAAACTGCAAGACTTATCGAAAACCTTTATAGGTCATCATATTGGATATTAAACAGGCACGTAGCATCGTTTTTGAAAGTGGGGGGGGCCAACCAGAGAAAAAATTTTTTTTACTTACCTGAAAAAGTTGACAAGCAAAAAAAAAAGGGAAAATAAAAAGTTGCCCAAACTCGAAAATCCTATTTCGTGGTGGTGGTGGTGGTAGTGGCCAACTTTTTCAAAGCCAACTTACTACCACTTCAAATTTTTTCCTTACAATCCTTGCTATCCCTATACTATGGTTATAAAGTGGGGGGCCAACCATCCCATCAATGAACATTTACTATCGTAAAGGTTATGTTGGGGAGAAAAGTGAGGGGGCCAGGCCCCCCCGGCCCCCTCGGGTGCTACGTCCCTGTTAAAAGTTATTCCAGTTATTTGATCATTGACCGCTTTCGAAGTTAATGCCCCTTTTGCAAGAAATGCTTGTTATCGCTACTCCTTCGAAACCGTAAACCGTAGAAATATGGAACCTTCACTAAAGTCTTTGACTAATTGAGAGGACTCTGGAATCAATTCATTGCAAAAGTCTTCGGTGACCCCTTCAATGAGTTATAGCCCCTGAAACTTTTTGAATTTTACAAATAATTAAAAATTTTCAAAACAAGAAGTCGTAGAGACATGGGACTAATTGCATAAGATTCATTGACCTTTGATCTTAAAATTGATTTAAAGGTCAAAGGTCAAGGTCATTCCAAAAATGAAAAATTTAGCCCTTTTTATATCTCTTTTGTCTTTTAACATATACTTAATGTCTGTGCATCATTAATATGTACTCTAAAAACAATTCGAAAGATTTCATTCTTGTTCCCTAAGATTAACCTTTTTAAAAGTTATTGCCCCTTGTGCAAAAAACCTTGTAATCGCTACTCCTCGGAAACTGTAGAGTGTAGAGACACCAAACCTTCACTAATGTCTTAAAGATCTTTAGGCATAACTTCACTGTATAAGTGCAAAAGGATCTGATGACCCCTTAAATGAGTTATCGCCCTTTAACCTCTTTCTACTTACTATCAAACCTTAAAACTTGAAAACTATAAGCTGTAGAAGCATTTTATAATTGCATTATGACCCTTGACCTTTGACCTTGAATATTTTTTCAAGGTCAAAGGTCAAGGTCATTTCAATTTTTTTTTTTAATTTTCATTTTTTTTCTATGCTTGATAAGAGTTTTGGTTTCTTTTTCATGGAATTTAATTTTAAGGAGTCGGATATAAAAACAAATTTGAAATTCAAAAAAGGTGGAAAGACCTCTTATTGTTCTTTGAACAATAAGTCTCCTAGTTTTCAGTTTTCACTTTTTCTGTCTGATTTACTTTAGTGCTTGGATCTGAAAGAATTAAGATAATTCAAGTACTACTTTTCTAAATATTTATCACAAATTTCATGCATCACTCTCCCATTCAGTGACAATGTTTATTTTATATAAATACCTTGATTTGTGCATTAGGCATGAAACCATCCATTTGGTTCAGTAACTCCAACATAGTTCTCTGAACTTCTCTGTCACCAGCCTTCTCAGAATCAAATCTTTTTGTTCCTATAAAACAAAATTCATCCATGGAATAAAGAAAATACACATTCACTGTTTCAATTTATCAATCATACATGTAAAACAAAACTTAAAAAGAATTCATTACCTATTGCATCCAACTCGTCAATAAATATGATTGCTGGCTGTTTTTCTTTGGCGAGGGCGAATGCATCTCTGACGAGTTTAGCTCCATCTCCAATAAACATCTGCACCAGCTGAGGACCAGCTAATTTGAGAAACGTTGACTTGGTCTGTGCTGCACAGGCTCGAGCTAGAAGAGTCTTACCAGTTCCTGGGGCACCGTACAGTAACACACCTGGAAAATAATGATGAAGCTAGTAAAAAAATAATCTGACTGAATGCTCATTTGAAATGTCATAAGAAATTTTATTGAATGTTAAATGTTTAAAAGCAATCAAATTTTCTTTGGTCCTTTCTTGCCTTTTGGTGGTTGAATTCCAAGAGCTTCAAATCTTTCTTTGTGTGTCATTGGTAACACTACTGCTTCGATGAGCTGAAAGTATTGAGAATTTATTGATGGAAATGTCTATATTTCTATATTATTTTATTCTCTGTACTGTATACAGGTTTATTTTTGCCCCGTGTTTTTCCCCCCCCCCCCCCCCCTTTCACACTTGAAAACAATTTTGTCCCGTTTTAAATTCGTGCAGTCATTGGGGTTTTAAAAAAAAGGAAATTATACTGTATTCTTTGAATTCGCCCTGTTTTAAATTTGCCAAAAAGAGGATAGGGCGAAAGGGGCGAAAATAAAATGGGGGCAAAATTATTTAGCGGAAATCAGGCCTACCTCTTGAATCTGTTTGTCAAGCCCACCAATATCTGAGTACTGTTCTGTGGGCCTCTCATCCACTTCCATAGCCTTCACTCTGGAGTCATACCTGTCAAATGATAAAAAAGAAACTTCATTTCAATTCCCTTACATTTCCATCACATAAAAATAAAGTGCCACGCCACAGCATGATATGCCCGTCAAAAAATTACAATTAACTTAAACAGTTTAGAGTGCAAGAAAATCATGTAAACCTTGATTCTAAAATTTCCATGATTTTTTCTATTCCTTAAAATATCTGTTTATCCATCCCCTGTGGTGTAGGCATTAATCATAACAAATTACATCATTGATAGATTTCTACTGGTTGTATTAGACCTTGTCAAATGCCCATCATATTAAACAATATCAAATTAGTCTTAACAACTTAATCTATACCAAATTAATGTTGAAAATAAAAGGCTGACCATCAAATGACATATGCTATTTAAACTGACCAGCAGGTCTTCTGTCTAATTCCCAAAGGATACAGATAAGAAGATGCTAGCTAGCCTTCCTACATTGAACTCATTAATCAATCTTTGACTGGATGCTTGTCTACTCATTACAAGAGATGAATGAATCTGCACTATCTACCATAAAATATTTTTAAAACATATAAAATACTCAATGATTTTTTTCTTTGACATTTAATGTCAATTAGGTTTTAATATGTGATTTCTTATGGAACATGGACATGCTGATTCCACCCCTATGAAATTAGTTTTTTATATTAATAATATTATATAATATCAGATTAGTTTATTATGCATATCAAATTAGTGTTAATTACTTTTCATCAAAATCATTTTAAAACTTAGGCTAGCCAACAAGAGCTATTTTTAATCAAACCAACAGGCTTACTCATCTGCCTAATTCCCAAAGGGATATAGATAACACAGATGCTCTCCAGTTAGCTCCTCACACTAAACTCATTAATTTCTCTCTAATTTGACATGCAATTTTCTGTTATCAAAATTCTTGACCAGTGCTTGATAATTACACTCATGGGAGACATGGGATTTCTCTAACATACATTATATTTGTTATAGATTGCTGTCAAGTATATGCTGAAAAAACTAAGTCATTTCTTGAATTAACACTTTTTTAATAAGGATACAACTAAATTTTTACATTTTTTAGGATTATAAAATTCAAAATTTAAAAGACTTAGTTTTTTAAAAAATTTCACCTAAATTAAAGGTCACAGTGACCTTGAAATAGGTCGCGACACACCTTCTACCCAAGATGTATACATTTGCCAAGTTTGATAGTTGTAGGTCTAATAGTTTGCTAGTTATGAGCTGGACAGGATTTTTCCATATTTGGCCATAGCATCTTAATTAAAGGTCAGAGCGACCTACTTTTTGCGCGCGACACACCATCTACCCAAGAAGTATCAGTTGGCATAGTTTGATAATCCTAGGCCTAATAGTATTGAAATTATGAGCCGGACACGAATGGACAGACGGACATGAAGCCTATAACATAATACGTCCCGTCTTAAGACGGGCGTATAAAAATGCAATGCAATGAAATGATATGTCTCTTGATTCTAATAAACTAATCACTGCACAATGCTTTAAAATTATATGTAATTATTTGTTGATGAAGTAGATTGATAAATAAATTGTGTGGTATTTTACTTACTCCTGAGGTAAAGTCTCCAAAATCAGGTAGGAATCCTTGTTAACACCCTAAAAATATTCAAAATAATTTTAAAAAATTTAACATTGCATGTGAATTTTTTTCCTCCTTCAAAATAAAATATAAATACATGTATTCCATTTAAACATGATTATGATAGTCTAAAAAGATAGTCATAGAACTGAGTTTCTTACCACAATATCTCCGGGACTCAATTTTTCTGGATCTACCAATCCTATGACTGGTAAGAAATATGTCTGAAATTACAGAAGATTCATCAATAAAAATAAATTTTACATAACCATGGTACAGTAAATTGCTGCCCGATCCCATTCACTTTATGTGAATGAAATTTTGTATAAATAAAAAAAAAATTAATTAATAAGAGTCATTGCTTAAACTTTATTAAAATTCTGACTTTTTCAATTCAAGTTACTGAAACAGGAATTATCTGAAGTTTCTTTGTTTTTTTTTTTTATGAAACGGGGAGCTTTGCCTCTGTAGATCCAAGGTACCTGTCTTGTGGATGTCTTTATCACAGCACATTTGCCCTTTCTCTGTGCATCGAGATCAATATTAGCTCCATCTTCCTCCCCACTGTCCTGGGGTTCCATATCCAGTAACTAGAATTTACCATAGAGAGAAAAGTCTTTGAATTTTGCTTCATGTAATGATCCATTAGTTATGTATTATTTTTTGAGAAATCTATTTTTTGAAAGTGAATGTACTAAAATTTTTGTACTAAACAATCACATCGAATCATAGGTAAGCTGGAGATTATAAAGGATACCGACACTTACACCAGGATAAAGCAGAATCTTAATTGTCCTGACTGCAGTGAGATGAGTTAAATATTTTTTTAATTTCTAATTTTTACTAACACCTAGTAGCATTAGAGTTTTCTGTTTGAAAAATTTGCTTTATAGATGCATTATTATTAGTGAATAATAAATGTTGTGGATTCTCTACGCTAAATATTTTAAATTTTACCATTTCCACTAGCACACTGTAGAAGTAGAATTTTCTGTTTGAAAAATTTGATTTACACATGCATTATTCATTGTTACATTATAAATGTTAGTTGATTTTCTGGGTCACCCTCTAAATATATATCCAAAAATTTACTTTCCAAAAAATCAGTATCAGTTTATTGAATCTTCTGTCTATAAAAGTTACCATTAAAATTTGTCCCCCAAAAAACTGTTCAATTTGGGTGTCTGATAAACATTGATCTTCAGAAATCAAAATAATTCTACAATATGAACATTGTATCGGCAAGACTGGTTAAAAGTAAATTTAAGCTTGTTGACATCTCCAGTCAATGAACTACAGGTACTGAAGGGATGTAATTTTTAAAGCTTGGGTAATCCAAAGCAATAATTACCTCAATAACATTTGATACCAAGTATGGCAGTGTTTTGTTGACTTTTATCTTCTCTGTGTTTTCTTTGATTTTTTCTTTTGTTGCTGTCAAGTCATGGTTTATCCTCAGAATTTCACTTTTCATAATCTGTAATCATAAAAAAAATTAACAAAAATTCAATATCATTTCTATAAATTTTCTACTTATAAATAATATATCAATAAAGGAGAAAATTAATATATACCTTGATCTCATTTTCAAGCAGTTTTGTCCTTGTAACAATTTCATCTGTGTTCAGCTTCAGAATCTGTTCACCTAAACTTTCCTGTCAAGATAAAAACAAAGCACATATAATATTATATATGATTTCTGGCCTTCTAAAAGTGTACATTGTACAACAGAAGAATGTATTTTTCTGTTAAAGTCATTTCAAATTTCTTTGCTGAACAGTTTCATCGAGTGGATTAAGATTTACCCGAAGATTCATCAACGACCTTAATGCAGAAGAAAATACTGTTTATACTCCCATATAAGTCAGTTTATTATACCCCCGGCTTAAAAAGCAGGAGGGTTTATAATCGGTATGTCCGTCCGTCTGTTAGATAGAATGCTCTATCGTTAAAATGATAAATGTCCTACAGACCCGGTTTAACGATAGAATTCGTTACCTGTATTCTCAGTGTAGAAAAATAAACACAGGCGATAACTCGTACTCAGTGCAATTACTATGAACAATCCAGAGAGTTCCAAATTTAAACATGGCAGGTAAATTTGAAGCAAGAAAATAAGTTGAATTGAATAAGTTGAAGCCGTTGAGAACATAAGTTGAATTTTCGTCTTTCTGTGAATTATTTTTTGATAAAAGGCATATACAATCACAAAAAGGTTTGTTACAATTAATTTGGAAGTTATTTTCAGTGCAAATCCTTTTGAATTCTTCAAAATCGTTTCGGAGTGATTCTGAAATTATTTGCTACATTACGAGTATATGGAAAGTATTCTAACTGTGGTGAGGGCTTGTCCCATACACAGTTAGATTATTCCAAGTATCCATCTGTCTGTCTGTTGTTACATTTTAGGGTACCTAATCTCGTATCCGCAACTCCTCTTTTACCACTGAATGAAATTTAATGAGAAATAATCCATTCAGGGAGACATCATACTATTTAAGATAAAAACGTGGGTGAATATGAATATGTCATGGATGGAGGAAATTCGGAAGCTAGTAACGTGAGTGAAAATGTCACACTCTCTTGGCTCATCGACGTACTTATCTATATTTATCGTGTGTTTCAACACTAAAGAGGTTATAAAGAACCTCAAATGACAACTAAATAATAAAATTCTGGATGTAAACGCACGTTCAATCACCATGACAAAGTGATTTTCGTGAGTAAAAAGATGGTTATTATAATTTGTAGCAAATAACATTAATTGTCAATAATGCCTCATTAAAACAAGATAAAATAACAAAGCAAGGATGCCATGTAGATATATATTTAAATATCTTTAAGTTATAGTGATAAACAGTACATAAAACGTACTTCTCCATCTTCCCAGATCGCTTTATCTTCGAGAGTCGCCATACTTGTGTAATCACGTGACAAAAGTAACTAAGGACCCAAAGACGTACGAGATTAAATATTTCCGGTAGTATGGATAACTCCATCGTCGCAAACCACGGCCAAAATGTACGATCCTCTCCTATTCTGGAGAGCTATATGCGGACTCCGGACCGTGGCTGGAGACGATGGGATAACTCTTGAAAATTCAATCTTTGAGTGCAACAATTTTCATTTTATACCTCTCAGAGGGGGGTCAGGACCCCTCCCCCTGGAATTTGCAAGGTTAAATTTTTATACTGAAGCAAGAAAAAAGACCGATACCTTAGACCCCCCTCGGAACACGCAGACCCCCACCCCCACCCCACCCCTGGTAAACACAAACTTATGTGAAATTGGAATGAAAAGTCAAAGGTTTGAAGCATTAGAAGTCAAACATCCCCCACACGAAATAGGTTTTTGAAAGTTTGGCGAGTTTCGGTTTTTTTTCTTGTCAAGAAATTTCTGGGTTGGATTTTTTTGGGGGGGGGGGGAGGGGCGGGCCGGATCCGCGTCTGGTGTTTCAAGGTTTTTTGAAATTCTCAGAAAGGTCGTTGTATAAGAATCGAAACTTTTGCCACAGATACCAATATTTAAAAATTAAATTCTATAAGGATTATAATTGTTTAAATCTTTATAAAGTATAAAATTCATAGCTATAACATATATCATACAGAAGCAACTTTTTCATGCATGGGTCGAGGACTTTTAAATTTTTTTTCGGGGAGAGTGGGTACTGGTCTTTAAACAAACGTGACTCTAATTACATTTGTTTTTGTTTAAGACAGAGTGTGGGACAGGTCACTTACCAGCTAAACTCTTGAGAGTCCCATGGAGGTTTGGATCCCTCCTCCCCAAGGATCCCAGTCACCCTACTTAGATCCTCGCGTGGGGGGGGGGGGGTATATTTAGGACAAAATGCTTTCTTTCTTATCTATGACTTTCCTTAAATTCTATGGTTAAAACTAAACGATTTAGATTCATTTGGAGTCTAGGCCATGCTTTTAATGTTGAAATATAATATGCTGACTTAAAATTGGTATCCTGCACTCAAAATTACCACGCAAATAATATAAAAGATTGATATACTAGTATCTAAGTATATTAATAAATATTTTATCATTTACATGTACAATTTATATTCTGTTAACGTATAACATATAATGCAATTTATAACTGTAATTTTAAGTAGTTTATTAAAATACCCACAAGATTTGTTTTCCTACAGTACACTTAATTTTGAAGAATTAAGCAATAATGCGAAGGAGGAAAATGAAGGGGGGAAAAGAATTTCTGTTGAAATCTGCAATATACAAATAACAAAAGATTAGTGTACATGCAGCGTTAGTTTATACACATTTCACGATTTTATGACCGCAGTAGAGTAATGAGTGAGGAGTAATTAAATCACGTGAGTATGATCTTTGAACATAATTCACCGATTGAATTCACAAAGTAGTAGCAGGTAAATGCGCTGCAGTCTTTCAGATCATTTCATATACAATTTTTCAGTAGAAAATGCTTTACAGGGGCCTAGAGATGACCAAGAATTGAGGTAAATATTCTAAACAGCCGTTTAAGCTGTTGTAATAAAAATATTTTTAAAGAATTGATTCAATTTCTCTAAAGAAGGTAGTGTATTTATGATATTCCCGCCACTTTCAAACGTTATTTTCGCTGGTCAGTGGTCAAACGACACGACTCCCAGATCTTCTTAGACAGTTGCATGTAGGTTTACAAGTAACACAATATAGTTTTATTCTATTTATAGTAATATAATTTTAGGGAAAATTGCACGTTTATGGATTACATGTGCATGTGTGTGACATGTACATGTGTGGTATATATTTATTGACTGTACATTCACAGGTTGATTTGGAACCACTTTAGCAATTTGAAGCAAGATCGCAAATGGGATATAACCATGATAACATCACGTTTGAGTCGTACATGTAATATGAAAAAAAGGACAAAATATATTCGCATTAGATGTTGCAAATATATATTAAAATTTGAAAAAAAAGAAAGAAGGCTTTCGGTAAAGAGCTTTCTCACATTCTCAAAAAGCAACAGTACTCATAAAATCAGTTGAAAACATGTAAAATTGATACCATTTACTAGTATTTCTTTAAAAACATTATCTCAGAACCACCCCCCCCCCTTTTTTCCAGAAACCTAGCAATGTCGCTTATACCATGTATACATCAAGACAGAATTGAGACAAAGTCACATTAATATTTTTATCCTGCCTAGAGGTAGAGCATGTTCTAGATTAATCGCAAAAACTGTTCTATAATTGGGGGATAAAATAATGCATATATTTATTTTATGTTTCTTGCAAGTATTTGTAATTTATTTGCATCGGGATCGAAATTGTGAGTTTAAAATTATGACATGTGGCGCGAACAGCCAGCGTCAGTGGACGGTCAGGTGAGCTTGTTGAAATTCGTCGGGGGAAAACATGATTTGTTGTCTCATTCAGATGCAGTTATTGATAAAGTATTTTTTTTAAGCTGCGGAAAGGGACAGCTTAAAGATTAGCCTACAACTTAGCACAACTACAAGTGAATTTAATCTGGTAAAACAGTAGATAGAATGTTCTATCGTTAAAATGATATTGTCCTACGGACCCGGTTTAACGATAGAATTCGTTCCGTGTATTCGTAATGTAGCAAAAGAAACACGGGCGATAACTCGCATAGTGCATTTACTAAGAACAATCTAGAGAGTTTCGAATGTAAACATGGAGGTAATTTGAATCGAGAGAAAAACGTTGAGAAAATGAATTGGATTTTCGTATTTATATGGATTATTTTTTGGGATAAAAGGCAAAAGCAATCTCAAGAAGGTTTGTTTTGATTATTTTGGTAGTTATTCCCAGTGCAAATCATTTTATATTCTTCAAAATCGTTTCGGTGCGATTCTGCAATTTTTTGCTACATTGCGAGTATATGGGTGGTATTCTAACTGTGGTGAGGGCCTGTACCGAGACACAGTTAGATTATTCTAACTAGTAAAACAGAACAGGTGAATTGGGACCACTCGCCCAAATGGGATATAATAGTCCGTTTAATTTTGGGATAAAATATCCCAAATGGGATATAAATTTACAGTGTAAAAAATGATATTTTTTTTAATTTTGGCAATAAATATCATAAATCCACAGTTTGTATTAAGATTGATTCCCAAGAAGTTAAGGAACTTCCGAGGGATCAATCTCCTAAACAATGGGCATACAGAAAAACTTGTCAACCAAAAGTTATTCCTTTTTAAGTGTCCTGATGCGGATTTATGATACTTATTGCCAAAATAAAAAAAAAATTAATTTTTGCACTGTAAATCTATAGCCCATTTTGGATATTATATCCCAAACAGACTATTATATCCCATTTGGGCGATTGGTCCCAACCTGCAGAATAGTGAATTACATAGTGTGTATTATGTTGTATTTTGAAAATGTATTGTGCTGTTAGACTGTATAAGTTTGAGACGTCAGATCCTGAGATATAGGCTAACTTTGCCTTGAATCAGCTGTGTATTGATAATGCAAATATATTTACTGTCAAGCATTTAAGGGGGTTGAAGGGGGCCGTTTTTGTTTTTTTTTTTTTTTTGCTCCTTTCTTAATGGCAAAAAGTGTTTTCTCAATTTTATCAAAGAAAATTTCCAATAGACAATCAAAACAAACAAAATTTGGTTATAAAATGTTGGGACTTGGTAACATATAATCTAAATGATGTTCAAAAAAATATATAAATGACATGCTCAGTTACAACGCACTTTGAAAAATGACAAAATTATAGGTTTTTTTTTTTTAATTTCAACCTAATGTCACTTTTTTCTCAAATGGAATAGCCCAGCCCATTGATGTTTTGCCCTCTCTCCGGATTCTGCTGGAAATCAAGCAGTGAGGTTGTCGGGATGACATTTTACTTGCATAATTTTATTCATCAAATCAGAGATGGCATAAAAATATGCATTTTAATCATTTTTTTGCTCATCAATATGAAGTGGACGGGAATATTAGTAACACCCATGGGATCAGTGCAAGTGTTGGTGTCCCAGATGAAAGTTTTTGGAGCAGACTTCTTTTTAAGTACATCTATGCCCTAGCCCCTAAGGGATGCATGTAAGATGCTTCAAGTATGTTTCATTGTACTAGCCAGGGTTTCAGAGACAACAATTTCAGCTAATTTAAAAGAATGATCAGCTTAATGTTTTTGAAGCAGGTGTCATTTCTAAGTATTTTGACCTAACTTACAAGAATCGTTCATGTACATCTAAAATAAAATACATGGACGTACACTACCAGGCTTGCCTCGGATGCTGAATCTAGTGCCTTTATTTTTAATATGAGTGACTAGATTAAAAGTTTTTTGAGCTAGTCTCATTTCCAAGTAACTATAAGGCCTATTTTGAACAATCTTCCATGGGTCCATTACCAGGCTTGCTATAGCAGCTGAATCCAACCTACATTTTATGGATGAGCGAAAGAGTCAAGATTTTTGGAGCTAGGAAATATTTTGAAATAGTCATTCTAATATAACTATTTATCTGTTGAATGATCACAATCAAATAATGCCACACCATTAAAATTTTTTGTTCGTTGGACCCGCTCGTATATAAACAAAACTATGAAAATAATATTAATTTAAATTTTCCGCACCATGGGGATTCTGTGCTATTTTTCTGTTTTATTTCCGCTCTATGTATCGTATTCTTAATCGGCTTACTCTGAAAATAATGAAAACAAAATTAATTGTCCGCTCAATCTTTTTCTTGATCCGCCTAAAAATGTCACCTACAAAAAGTAATAATATTATTTAACCGCTTTCCTGCTCGTACTTTTTTTCATCAAATGCCCGACGAACAAGAAATTAAATTGGTGTGGCCTTAGAGATATAAAGGTTATTCAAATGCAACAATTTTTTTTTTTACCTTGAAGCTTTATTTTGAACTTGAACTTACCTCAGCAAAGTCAAGATGTAGTTATGCTATACCCTGACACCAGCCTCAGGGA